GCTTTTCTTGTTGAAGTAGCACAGTTAATACCTTATTGTGTTAAATTATGCAAAAGTTCGTCAAACTCACTTTTATTTTCGAGTTAAGGTGTTGTTATTTTTTTACATTCTGTGTTAAACTTTAACATATACTAAATATTACAGTATATTACTGTTGTGTAGTATACTTGAATATTTTAATGTTTTTAATTAAAAAATCACAATGCTATATACTGAATGTGGAATAGGACTTAAACTTCGCTTCTTCTAACCATAGGTAGGGAGGGAATTATGGCTGAGAAAATCTTAAATCTGGAAGGAAAGTCGACTAGGACAGCGCAGCAAGACCGAGTTGATGTTTTTTAAAGGTTTATGTGCCAACACTTTATACATATTTGAAGAATACTGTGATATGGCGCTTACAATAATGATGAGACAGGAATGAGGTTCTCTACCGAAGGTAGTGTTTGATGAACTGTATTTAACCCTATTACACGAAATATGGAAAGGTTTCTCACCCAACTAGGTCAATATTGCACAAAAATTGTTTTTGTGAAAGATATTTCAGTAAGTTATGACTGGATATATTACTTATAAATAGTATTGTTCAAGTGAGGAACCAGCAAAAATAATTCCATGGTTTTATTTAGACCTGGAAATAACAGCATTCAACTACAGAACTGATGTATGTGTATTAATCAACAAAAACAGATTTGTTACCTATAAATTACAATGTGTAACAGAAGGTTAAATTCGTTTTTATGTATCAACTGTTCAGAATAATAAGCTACGTTTCCCGAGTTACCTGCTACAGTTTCTTACCCTAATGTGTATAACATTGCGCATCAGCCTCGATGTTTTACCGGCTAGCTAGTTATTCATGGTTATTTCATATGTGGTAAATCTTGCATGCAGTTTTTTTCGGGAGGTGGAGTCTATTACCATACCCACAACTGGCAATTTTAGTGGTTGTTCAAGCTTGGGACGTAAATAAAATTATTTTGTTTCCATTCAGGCGGGTTGGTTTGCACTCTGCGAACTGGAAAGCTTATAATATAGGCGGTGTATTCCCGTTGCTCTAGGCGTCCTACTTCCGTAGAGGTCTTCATGATATCTGTACCTCCTGCTAGCTGGCTGACGGAATATGATAGAATATATATGTTCTATTTTTGTATTATGTTTCAGCAAACAATAGATAGTTAGAATAACTAGAGTAGTATTATACGTAGCAAGTTAACTAAAGTAGCACTAAATGTAGCTGGTCAAACAGAGTATAACTAAATGTATCTGGTTAACCAGAGTAGCACTAAATGTAGCTGGTCAACCAGAGTAGCACTAAATGTAGCTGGTTAACTAGAATAGCACTCAATGTAGCTGGTCAACCAGAGTAGCACTAAATGTAGCTGGTCAACCAGAGTAGTATTACATGTAGCTAGTAATTTAGAGTAGCACCAAATGTGACCGATTAACCAGAGCAGTACTAAGTGTTGCTGGTTAACTAAAGTAGTACTAAATGTAGCTGGTTAACTAAAATAGCACTAAATGTACTGGTTAACCAGAGCAGTACTAAGTGTTGCTGGTTAACTAGAATAGCACTAAATGTTTCTGATTACCTAGAGTAGCACTAAATGTATCTGGTTAACCAGAGTAGCACTAAATGTAGCTGGTCAACCAGAGTAGCACTAAATGTAGCTGGTTAACTAGAATAGCACTAAATGTAGCTGGTCAACCAGAGTAGCACTAAATGTAGCTGGTCAACCAGAGTAGCACTAAATGTAGCTGATTAGCTAGAGAAGCACCAAATGTGGCTTGGTTAACTAGATTAGCGCCATATGTGGCTGGTTAGCCAGTAGTTTAGTTGGTGCAAGAACTGCTCTGAAATTATACAGTATTTTTCTTCTTGTTGGATTAATCTAGTCTTAACATAGAATAATTCACATATTGCACGTGTGTTAAAGTTCTAAATCAGGATGTAGTCACAGAATATTGTCAAATTAGTTTTAATAAATGTTTCATTTTGCGTGTAATCACCCTTTTTTATATACTTTAACACATAAAAACAAGCGCGTATAGAAAAGAACACTTGTCCATCTAGTCTTAATTTTTGAAAGCGGTAGTAGTCTCAAAAACAGTGTTCACATTTTGATGACAGTCGCGTCCATTTCAATTTCGAAAAACAGTGTTCCACCGACAGCTCATTTTACACACTTTTCTAAAACCTCATTTAAATGTAGAGTAGCCACACTTCCATGGTGAAATTTTAGTTGACGTTTATATATTTAATTAGTAAAATCTCTCCAAGACTTTTTAACGATGACACAAGTGATCCGATTAGTTTTTTTAAACCTTATGTTCAGGCTTTCAACGTTTATTTCACTGTCGTATAGAAAAACGCGGCATTTCACACGTAAATGTTTATATATGTATTCTGACTAACAAATGAAATACCGTTACTGAGTTAAAATTAAACAAACATTGATTTCACACACTTTCACGTACACTATTTGTGTGCGTCTTGCATATTTATAAAGTTTATTGTTGATTTTCACATACCGTATCTTTATGATTTTTTCTAAGAGTTTTTTTTTTGTTTGAAGTTAAGCACAAAGCTACACAATGGACTATCTGTGCTCTGCCCACCACATACCGCTGTGCCACTGGGGGGGGGGGGCATTCTAATAGTTAAATTGTTCTATTGGCAGCACGCTAATAGGATTACTCATTATTTATCTTGAGATTTTAACGATTGAAATGTATTATAAAATAGAAAATATTTGTCTTCCTAAAATTTTTAATAAGCTAAAAAATGTCCAAAACTAACAAATTACGTTTTAATAGAACAACATAAGTGTATTAAATAATATACTGCTTTTTAAGTAAGAAAAAGCAATTATGAAAATGAGAACAGGACAATATGTAAAGTGTGCAGCATAATATATACTTAACAGCAAGCAACAGAAGAAGCTTAGCATTAACTAATATTAACTTCGAAACAATATTTACAAATATCTCGAACTATACCAAATATAAACAAAAGACACGAAATATTCAGTAACCTATAGCTTAGCTTAAGTAACAAATTAGAACATTTATTGTGTGTGTTTGATTTTCAAATCGAACTAAATCAAGTGTGGCCAAGTAGTTAGCGCGCCGGACTCTGAATCTGAAGATCCATGGTTTGTGTTTCTGTTTCGTTGCCGTAAAAACACGCACTGCATTTCGGAGCAGTGAGCGTATTATCAGAGTGATAATCAAATCCCACAATACCATTAGAGTAGCCCAAGAGTTGTCGGTGGGTGCGGTTGAATAACTGTTTTCTTTCTAGTCTGTCAATTCAAAATTAGAGACTGCAGATAGCCGTTTTGTAGCTTTGCTCGAATGTTCGAAACAAACCAATCAAAAGTGCTTCACAAAGAAACAAATAGATAAATGAAGCAACTACACTAATAATAATTAATAAGCGAAATCTTGTCATAAATGAATGGATTTCTTTAAAAACGATTGGAATATCTAGTTTTTATTAATCGTTCTCTCTGAAGTGATGTCTGTTGTTAACTAAGCCTTTTGTCTATGCATTTGTATTTATGCGTGAGATAGATTCTACATTAAATGAAACTGAGTTCTGATGAACAAAAAACCAACAAAATTGAATACATCAAGTAAGATGTCTGTGGTACCATAGGAAGAATACTTAAATTTATTGGGACCAAAACCACTTTTATATTAGGGCACACACACACATAAAAAAAATTCAACTACAAGCCTGTTTTTGAGCAAATAGAACATTAGCTTTGGTTTTTATTCTTCATATAGGGTGGTTACCAAAATATTGAGTCACAAAAAAATGCCAAATATAAATCACGTATACAGTTGTTTGGTCTCGTGAAGATAATTTGAATTTAGATTTGAGTTGTGTAATTATGCATTTTCCAAGCAGTCTGAGAGTGAATGCTATTAAAATAACATTACGCACAAATCGCGTAGTCTTGAAAGCTTGCAATCTAATTTCTGGAGCTAGAAACTTAACATGTCGAATGGTATAGGATATAGAAGAAGTAAAGCAAAATGAAGCTGTATCATCAATCGGATCTTCACGATAAATAATATATTTAAGAAATGTCTGTATTGATTTTAAAAATAAAACCAAAACATTATATTGTAACGTGTGTTGCGTCTGAACACCAAACTGAAATGTTTTAGTTCAGAATGAAGTAATCGTTTATGTTCATTTTAGTTTTGTTTTCGAAATCCTTTCAATTTTTCTACATTCTAATTGGATTTGAAACTGCAACTTCACTGATGTATTCCCTTCCCTTTGTAGTATTTAAACTATTTTTGACGAATAGGTACAATTTTAAAAGAGTATAGATAATTTCATTATAATGACAAACGAATATACGTACAAAAACTTGTGTACGTGCATGAATGAAAATCAAATGAATAAACACTAGAAAATTAAATACATTTACAGTAAAAGAAATCAACTTCTTCATGCAAGATAATGCTCACAGATAGAGAAATAATTAACATCGAAAATAGAAATCTAAAACTATGCATTTTTATCGCCTGTATGTGCAGATCAATTAGCGGCGGCCATAATCGCTGATAAGAGTACCAGAAGTACAGACTTATCGATAGTAAATAAATATTTAAATACCGTGCAACATTCAAATTCCCTGTTAGGTGTTAGTTTCCAATTTGTTGAAGCTTATTGATTCTGATGTCCACCAATGTGTAGGCCTAGTTGTACAGAAACATTCATTTGAAGCCAATCAAACTCATGAACATGGTCACAAAGCATCACCTGCGCGATGTAGTCTGTATTCTAGATAGACCGTAAGGGCCCAAAGGGTTGAAGAGGTGTTCATCGTGCATAATAAGGCGGTTTGTCCAATGTCCAGAAGTCCGAGAGCGCCCTCTACATTCATCAAACTGATGATGATAACTCACAGGCAAGCAAAACTATTTAAGTGCAGTGAAGGAAAAATTTTTGTTTTCATTCATTCAATATTTAAACTTACTTTGTGTCGGCGAATCCGTCATGGAGTCTACCGCGCGTCAGTGTGTGTGTGTGTGTTTGAAGTAAACAACTACCACACACCTAGTTGCCTGCCTCTATTCAAATTTGTGGAAGAAACTAATAACCCTATCCTGCCAGACAGGTCACGTGACTACCTTCCCCGCCGGACGGCTATAACACGCGAGGCCGTGCCGACATAACGTCATGAATAATAATAGTAAAGCAACTTTAAAATCCTGACAATGGTCAGGTACAGAATGTTTTGATGCTGTAGGGATGTTGCACTACGCCGAGTATTTTAGTGGCATTTGTTTAACCACGTATTCTTAAAATAAATCATCTTGATTATTATATTACTGTGTATGTGTTTCTGTTTAATATACTCCCATCGTGTCCATGCAAAAACTTTTATATAGCATACATGGAAGTTCATTAAAAATAAATCATTGTACACCTGTAGACAATGCTGACTGTAAGGGTTGGTTCATGAAATGCCATCTGGCAGGATAGGACATAGTACAAACCGGACAAACCAGCCTTGACTAGAGACGTTCAGACAGAAACGCGGCGTCAGAAAAACATGTATTTATATATTTGTATGTGTGTATGTGAATTAATTTAGTTCATAAAACAAGCAAAAAAAAAAAGAAATAAAACTGTAACACCACGATTCTTTACAGACGAAGAAAAAATGCCGACACAATAACAACGCATCATTATATCGTTGTCTCTTCATGCCTTTCTACATATTGACTTTCTAAAATCCGGAGCTCGATTCTCCGTAGTGGATACATCAGATAGTCTAATGTGACTTTGTTCTAAAACAAACAGAGCCTGTGTGTGTTTGTGTAATGTATAGCCCAAACACATAAAAACAGCAGCACATGTACAGAAACAAATATATGTATATGTAAACTATTTTTTCACTTTTTTTTTGTACGAGTTGGCTAACATCCATCATTCTAAAACCTCGAAATGCACGCTATGATACTTGCAAGACTAGGGTTTGTCTCGCAAATAGAAGCTACATCAGTTACGTGTAAATAATAGAACAAAGTAATATATTTTTTGGGATGCCTTTTGGTTGAGTGAGAACACGCACGCGCGCGCGCGCACACACACACACACACACATATATATATATATATGCGTGTGTGTGTACATACATACATACATACATAAAATACACGTACGTGTGTAGCATACGGCAAAGTAAGTCTATGTTTAGATTACTTGAATATGTGTAATGTTGAGGATACGTTGTTGTACAGGTTTTAGCAAAACCTTGAACCATGTGCACTTTCTGTTGCAGCTAAATAACTATATAAACTTTCATAGTTAAAAAACAAACAAACAGGATTTCATTAATTTAGCATCTCTTACATTTAATTTTGCTATATTTGCCTATTTGTAATGTCCCTTACTGAGCTCCTCTAGTGGAAGTTTCTTAGGTTTTGGACAGGAGAAACAAAGCATTAGATACAAAAAACAAGTTTTCAATTTTCACTGTAGTTTTTAGCGATGAACGCACGTTTCTAGACACAACAATGTCCATCAGATTGTCCCACCAAGAGGAACCGACAACTGAAACCAAGTTTAGGACCAGCACAACTGCGATAACGTTTGTGGTTATAACTTAATGTAACGAAAAAAAGGTAAATGAAAATTTAATTCGAAAGGTGTCGGAAAAATAACCCAGAAAGAAAATATTTAGCATGGCAAATTTATGTTATGTAAATTCATGATTAATGAAAGGTTATCTTAGGACATAAAAAGTTGCTTATATGTAATTGTAAAAAATGCCCATAAAAACTGCAAAACACAGAATGTAAAAACGCAACTTTACATATATTTCCGCATGGACCCAACAAACCTTCATACCAAATTTCGTGAAGACTCGTACACAGGAGGCGAGGTAGTGGGGGAAAACGCTCATAAAAACAGCAAAATTCCAACCTCAAAATTTGTGTGCATCTCCGTATGGACCTAATGAATCTCCATACCAATTTTGATGAAGATCCATCCACACCCTACGAAGTAATTACATGGACATACTACATACCGTATTGTTTGTTTGTTTGTGAATTTTCGCGCAAAGTTACACGAGGGCTATCTGCGCTAGCCGTCC